ACTCTTCCACTTCAAACATTTTTTTCCTTGATTACAGCTCTTGCAGTAAAGTGATAGCTAAATAAAGTGGATGGCACTGAGTTTTTACAAACTGGTCAAAGCAAAAGGAATCCCTAATGGTTCATTCTGAGGGCCAGATACCTGTTTTGGTGCATATGGAGCCCACACACCTAGTAAGAATGGTTCATTCTGTTTTGGTGCATATGGAGCCCACACACCTAGTATGGTCCACTGTCTGATGCCATGGCACCTAGACCACAGCAACAGAGAAGAACCTCTACAGCAGTGGTCTCCAACCTTTTTACACCCAAGATCACTTTTTAAATGACAAAACAAGCCAAGACCTACTGCCCCACCCCCTTCTTAAAGCCCCAATCCTTCTATTCTCCTCCTCTCCATCACTTGCTATCCCCAATCCTTATACTACTGTTTTTTTCTGCTCTCCTCCCCATTCTTCTGTAGGAAGAGGTTTTCCCAACATTTGGCCTGTCTAGACTGGACCAAATGTCAGAAAACCCGCTTCTTCTGGAAGCCTTTTTCCTCATGGAAAGAAGAATATAGTGGTGACCAAAAGAGCATGTTTGCTCTTCTACTAAAAAAAGCAGAAGAAACACACACATCCCTGGATGCAAAAGAGTTTTTCTGGGATATCTCCAGAATCCTGAAAAACTCCTGCAATCAAGCCGTATCTTCGCTGGGTTGAGACAGGATGTGGGAATGAGGGATTTGGGTGTGGGAAGAGGTGAGAGGTGCAAGCTCTGGGAGGAAATCTGGATGCAGGAAGTGGAGGAGAAAGGGACGCTGGCTTGGGGAGGGGGCTCCAGGTCGGGCAGTGTTGGGGTACTAAGCAAGCATTGGCATGCGCACAGGCTGTGCAGGGTGTGCCTGGGCACACCCTAATGTGGGGCGGACTGGCAGACGGGCTGGCTGGAGGAGGAGGGTTGTAATGGGGCAAGCCCATCCCCCCTACCTCTGCAAGACGTCACCGGCGGCCACGGCCTCCAGCGACCCTGGGCACTTCAAAAGCCAGGGGTGCACACCATGAAGTGGGTGGAGATTGCAGGAGACCTTCAGGTGAGTGTGGCCCCTTCCCACCACCCGTGTGCCCCCTGTGGCTGGCCACCACCTCCCATTCACACCCC